GGCGGTATGTGTAAGAGGCTAAGGTGATTCTTCTGTACTACCACTGGTATGACCAAACCAGTCATTAGCATTCACTTCTAGAAAAGGTACAGATATTCTTATACTAGAAAGAGTGGGGTCTGAAGATTTTCGTTTGTACATATGTCGTTGGGTAAAACAATTAGTAAATAGAGGTTAGTGAAATTGAACACAGAACTTTAAAATATCAAGCCTTTAAGAGAAGGATTACGCCAGCGAGTTTGGGTCTAGCTGAACTTACATGTTCAGAAGTATCGCTAACTACCTGTAAGTACTTAGAGTGATCTTCTAAGTATACATTGTTCTTAGCATTTGATTTGAATTTTACGAATTACCTTTGATCTACTTTGAGTCAATGCGTTAGTTTAGACGGGCAGGTGAATGCCATATACAGAGGATCGGCTGTGTAAATTAATTTCCAAAACAATTTAGCCCATATATCTCTTTTTCGAATGAGATATTTTTCCCCTTCCTACAAAGAAAAGATTGGCCTTTTTGGGGAACGGAAAAGAGATTCTTCTTTGACATATCTACTGCTCGCTCTATTTCTATAACATGTTGTAACGTTTTAAGCAAACAATCAAACAAAAATGACAACTTTCGTTGTAGTATAGTCAAAATAGTTTTTGATAGGCTGGCTTCCTCATTGCTACGGCAGTAAGTTGGATCTACTCTAATGGAAATAGAACAGTTTCATAAGTCATGAGATTACAATGGGGAAGCTTGTTACAACGAAAAATCGAAGCGTTTGAGTTCAAACGGGAACAATACGATGCAGTGATGGGCATCGCCAAATATGATCTTTGTTCTGAGGTCACAAGCTTTATACCAAACTTGCTCCAGAAATTTGAATCGGATAGAATTATAGAGTTAGTAATGAGCTATTTAGTACCATATATTTTAATCTTTTTTATAGGTCTACATGCAAATTTCAGTATTCATCTGTTAAAGTTCATTGAGAATGCCTGATATAAAATATTGTTGAAACTACAGCTCAACGAAAGTTTGAATGTTTAGGGCAAAGCATTGTAGTCGCTCCTCTGACATCTACTGTTAAGCTCGTGTGCTCCCATGTATCGTGTTATCGAGAACTCTGCAAATTCACTTTTGATCTAACGAACTATGATTTGTTAGACAAGGTGTGGAAATGGATAAAGTCAATGTATAGGCCCCACCGCGATAATATTTATTCTGTAATTCTATCGATTGACATTAGGAAAATCGAAGAAAAAACTTTGAAGGTGGATAACCTTTATTTTGATTCTCACACACCTCAAAATTACAAGCACCCAAATAGGTTTCAGATTTTAAAGGTTGGGACGATGAAATGACAAAAAAAAATTGCTTGGTCCAAAATCAACCGCAATTCCCTTATATTTAAAATCGAAAGTCTGTTTTAGCTATATTTTTCTTGCACAAAGCTACATATAAGCACTTTTTTTTCGTCTTCATAGTTTTTCTAATCAGCCAATACTGTCGGATTCCCATCAATTTCCCATGTTTACAAGAATTTTATAGTCGCAAACAATTCGCGAAAAAAAAAATTCACAAGCGCACGAGGCAACGCAAGTGGGATGGAATGAATAATTTGTTTTAAATGGTAATCTAATTAATAATCAAACAAATGATACAAGATGTCGGCGAAAGTATAAATAAACCTCTAATTAATAATCGCTTCTTGAATCTTGAACCTTACTCTATTTTCAGTCTTAGTGTATCTGTACTGGGCGGAAAATTCCACTTTACAAGAATCAAGGAATTCCAAACATTTTCTTCATTGATTGCAGGAGTCACGAACAAAAAAGTTGTTACGGAGTTTCATTTTTAATTTCTCAATAATGAACAGGTGAAAAATTTTTAAGTGCAAGTTTTCATAGTTGTTTCTAAATTCCTCAATAATTCTGCTTAAATTTTTGCATCGGAATCTTCGTGAAAAAAAGGAAAAACAGCAATTTTTTGAGACTCAGATAATTTAAAATCACTTTAGACGAAACAATTACTGAAATAAAAACTCCTGGAAGTCTGAGATATTCTTAACGGAACCCTTGCTTAGATCGACTCCGTCTCAGGCTTCATTAAACTGATACGATATCGTGGAGCGATTTTACCATATTAGAGCCTTCTCTGAGAGAAAAATCATGGTCAAAAGTTTAAAAGTGCACATTTGATAACAAAGCCAATGCAAGGTATCCCACGACATATCGCAAACGCTACAAAGTATGCA